TCAAGAGGCGCTAAACGAACCCAAACGTATTTTATCCCACAAAATGCAACAAAGTAGTGAGTTATGCATCTATTTTTCAGCTATCCTTTTAGCTCTGCAGTGTTTATTGTACGTGGTAAAAAGGGAAAATGGCAGATTCGCGTCATTTTGCACACGCTACATGTTGGGACGCCTGGGAAGCGTTGACAAAGATATGACGCAAGTTTGCCGCAAGGGAAGTATGAAAATACACTCGAGGCTAAGTGTTTTACAAGTTTAATACCCTGTCTTCTTCTTTGGTGGGGTTGTTAGTACTTCTTCTTAATTCCACCACCAGGTCAGTCACATTATGCGTTCTATTAGGTTGAAGCCGGGCCGCCGTTTTTGAGTTTTTAGCCATCTCGTGCGGTCTCGGCATGTACCGTAAAGAGACGACTAAACATCACGAGCGAGAGATCGCTAGGAAAGAAAGGGCGAAGAAAGCTAAAGAACAATCAAAGCGGCGAAAAGAACGTAAAAAGAGCGGCAAACCAGCTGGTATACCCCAAACCCTTGAGACCCTACGCACTCCCGATGAAACAATTTTGCCTAAAGATGACGCAGATGTTGTTAAGGAGGAGGAGAACGTATGCGGTTTTGTCTCCTCGCTTATTATTAGGACGAGTTTTCAAGGATTTACTCAAATGAGGTGGAACCCAAGCTATTGCTGACGCATTCCGATCGTGTCTCCCCTCGAACTGTTGGGTTCTGTAAGGAGTTGGCTCGCGTAAGTCCTCGTTTTTGCAGACCTATCGCTTTGTTAATGAGAGTTATTCTATTTTCTAGTTCATGCGTCAGGAAAAGTTCGATATTCGCCACTCCCTAGGCTATTATCAGCCGCATATATGCGGTTCGGTTGCATTTTACACCGAACTCCATTTGTTGTCCTTCGAAGAGTTTGGGCGCTACTTACGCAACAGAATTTTTGGTGCCCATCGTCAACAGCTCATTTTATGGTTGTTCCTGTCACGCTGAAGAGAGATCTTGTGTCTTTCTGCCATTGTTTCTGTTATTTCCTGAAGTCAACTGTAGCCATATGTACGTAAAACAGACTTTTTTCAGCAATCGTTCATCATAAGCCCTATAGCTACAGCGTCAGAGTCCCACGTGTATTGTAGAGTTCGTAGTGGTTGTGTTCCTCGTCTGCGTCTGCTAAATATTCCAGGAAGCGCTGCCAGCGCCACGACTTTGTATCCTTCCAGTGTAGTGTTCAAAGTGCCGCTTCACTTCTAATTTGTCAAAAGTCTGAGTAACACTGGAATGCAAGCTGCTGTTCTTAGTGCTTCTACAGGTTGCCCTTCCAAGTCGAACGAGGTAGTTCCTAAAAATAAGGTATCGACTGACAGTTCCCTGCATTCCATAAATCATATGTATTGATGCATGTCAGCCCTCTTGGTTCCTGTTGTTAGGCCGCCTGAACCAGATACGAAGACATTAAAGCTCTATCTTAAGTCTCTTTCTAGCTTAGGCGTCAAGTCGTCTTCAAATTGGTCGCGTATCTTGTCATTGTGGCCTTTTACGGCCGTTCGTTCGTCGGATGCCTTGGAATCTCCTATTGATGCGTTGTCTCATTTTACTAGCCAGATGTTCGTCCAAATAACCTCCAACTACCTTTCTGGAGTACACTAGACTAAGTGGGATTGAAGCAGGTATTCAACCCCGCTTTGCCCAACTTGCTTCGGCGATGGCATCAGTTCAGTATTGGCCACCCTACTAATTTTGTCATCAGCTTCACTGCCATCTTTTACCTCAGTGTCATCTAGTCTAGCGGTTGTCTAACGACATACTTGACGGTGTCTATGTTGGTTTTTTTTAAAAGTGAGGGGTAGTTTTTGGATGACTTTGCTACCGTCTGCACAGATAATTCTAAAAAAAATCCGAGTGTTGTGGTTGTTGTCAGTTAAAGACCTGACATCCTTTCCTAACAGACGTACTCTGTATCTACTCATGCGGGGAACAGGTTTTTCTCAAGGTGACTCAGTGCATCTTTTTATCCAGTTAGTTCGTCCGTTAGGACAGTTGTCCCGTTTTATGAGTAACCGCTGTTAATCGCATATCTGGCCAGGTCTTTGAATGGTAAAGATTCGCGAGCTCGCTTTTGTCGATGATAATTATTTTTAGTTGCCGTTCGTGGTTTTGTAATATTGTATCTTATGACTAAGTACGAATACTGTCCAGTGTTGCTCCTATTTTCCTAGGTTATTCCCAACATGACCGTCGCACCTCGCTGGCATGCTCCCCTAAAAAAACTAATCCCCAAGGCCATAGAGCATGGCTACACCGCTGTGCTCGTCCTCAATGAGGACATGAAGAAAATCAACACCCTGGTCATTAGTCACTTGCCCCACGGACCAACCGCCACCTTCCGTCTCTCCAATGTAATCCCTCGACGTAAAATCCGCGGTCTGAAGCACAAGGGCATTGAGCCGGGCGTCGTCCCTCATCTTATCCTCAACCGCTTCATGACGCGTCTTGGGCGTCGTGTGGAGCGAATTCTAGGTGCACTCTTCCCTTCAGTTTCTCGGGGACCGCCCCAACCTCACTGTCGTACCGTGGTCTTTCACAATCAGCGTGACTTCATCTTCTTTCGGCATTATCGATACCAGCACAAGAGGGATCGCTTCGGCCAGGAGGAGGAAAATGAGGAAGCGGGCACCCATGCGACAGGGCTAAACGATCGCGTTGTCACAAACGAGGTCGGTCCTCGCTTCACCCTAAAGCTGAGGTCCATCCAGGTGGGCACGTTTGACAGTCAGTTCGGTGACTACGAGTGGGTGCGAAAGACGGCAGTTACCGGAAAATCGAGACGGACATTTGTACTGTAAAGAGTTTCCCTGCATTTTTTTCATGTACGCCATGCTTATTTATACATTCTCACCCACCATATGCCTGTTTTTCATATACTTAGCTCCATTCTAATCAGCACAGATCCGCCATCAAAACCACGACCATATCACCGTTCAAAGTGATGCGCTTACCTACTTTTTGTCGTATGTATAAGTACTAATTCAATAGACCCCAAGTCGCAAGTTCGTTGCATCAGTTGGTTAAGGACAGGCTCCCAAGCAAGGTTGAGTCAGTTGGTTTTGCCGTCCCCTACACTATTGTATCGATTGGCTGCAATCGGAATCATCTTTCTCGACGTCCATCCACATTTTTAATTGATCGTTTTGACTGTTTATCTAACCAACCCCGGGTTGCAGCAAGACGACATCCCAACACATTTTCGACTCTCTCCCTCTGCGCCGCTGACTGGTTGCGTTTCTGATTTACTGTTGAGTGTTTCATTGGGGACTGGATCGGAGACGAATTTGGGCTACAGAGCGTAAGCACCATAAATAGAATGCTCCTAGGTAGTGAATATCTTTAGAGAGCATGGGACGTGTTTTATACGTACAGAGGGGTTGACTTGACAGAAATGTTGAATATCAACAGTTGAGTCTTTTGACTGATTTTACACTGCACCCAGGGATATGGACGCAGTTGTGAGCTGACTCCTAATACCTGGTTATAATATTTTTGGCTGATTTCACCTTAATCTTGTTCGTTTCACAAAATTTCGTTCATGCCAACAGGAGATATTTCGAGTTTTTCGATTTAAGTCCATCATCATCATCATCATCATCATCATCATCATCATCATCATCATCATCATCATCATCATCATCATCATCATCATCATCATCGTCGTCGTCGTCATCATCATCATCAGATGGAGCCATCAGCAGTCACACGCGGGGGTCATTTCATTGTAAGCAAAATTACAGAGGGCCTACTGCACTCTCCTCCCCAACAGGAAGCACGCATGGACGCAACAGGCGACATAATGCACGACTTAGTTCTTTCGGATCTCGCGGGTGAGATTGCTTTAAAGGCGATGCTAAGAAGCAGTCACTGCAGCCTGATTCAGCTCCAGGAAGGACCGAGTTGCCCTGTCAATTGGCGGCCGTTCAAGCCACAATTCTTGGCGCCTGATGACACATTCAGGTTTCTCAGGTTTTCTACACTTATGACGACACCGATTTGTCGTCCTCGCTTTCCTTCCACTCCGCCATCCACCTTTCGACTGTATTTTTCCAGTTCCGAAGCCACCAAAGCATCTGCACTGTCATTACCCCTAATGTCTGCATATGTTTCATGGTCATCGATATTTTAGATTTGCTCCGAATTAGCGTGTCCTGGAGTTTCTCTTAGAGACCCCATTCTCCTTAGTTGTCTGTTTGCCCAGCTGATTTAAGGATCTCCCTCTAGCTGTAAGAAAATCGTATTAGCTATCAAGAACTGGTCTCTTTAACCGAGCTTAGGAGCCGAAAATTGTTCACACGTCAGACCTTGACTTACTTAAACGAACCAGTAAATTTGGGGATGATTCGGCGTGTAGGATTGATCAAGGTATATCCGCTTGTTCGTTTATCGTCTGTACGGCGACCTATGTAATCAAAATGTTAAAAGCAATCCTTTCCTTTATTTCCTCACCGAAATGCAGTATTTCGGTCAGGTAAGCAAATGTAATAGTCTGGGAACAGCAATCGAAGAATGTTTTCTTATACAAATTATTCACTGGCTGACGTTTCAAGCAAGCGGGTCGTCCGTATGCAAAGTGTGATTTGGACCGAAACGAGATAAATGCAGTTACATGAACTTAATGCATCAGTGATCATGCCGGATCTAGCCGGCCTCGATGTCACGGACTGTACCTCTCCATGCGCGACGATCCGTGCCAGCAGATTTAGACAGCTCGACCCATTCTCTACTTCAGCGACGGAAACCAAATACCGAAGGTTCACGAACCACTTCCATGTCTTGACGAACCGTGTCGAGCCATGATTTGATTTAGCCTCTTCGACGCTTCCAGGTGGGTGATAACGCCGGATCGAGGGCAGCAGCACTGAGCTCGTGAGGTGGGCGACAGAGAGTGCGCCCAGATCGCCTCAGTCGTCCTTCTTGGATGGCATGAGATATCCTCACGATGTCGCATTGACGTTGATTGTCATTTGAGATGAAGTCGGTGGACTTCACTCAAAGGATGGTCTCCAAACAGTGGTGGTCTACTACCTTGGGTTTCCGTTTATCTTCCACGGGTACAGCTCAGGATTCACCAACCTAGAGGTCTGACCGGACGGATACACGCCACACACGGATTTTCGTGACGATGGAGGTGTTACGTCAGTCTCACATAAATTTTCTAAGGATTAAGGAAACCCTGCGAGCGTCATCAATTCGGGAGACAATATCATCCCTGCTCAGTCCCTTGACAGCAGCCTCATCCTGAGATATTTGACACTGTCAACCTCCTCAAGTTGACAGCCATTAACCTCGCGGGTGCCTTCTCATGGAAAACACCCTGCCATTCCCAGCCTTCATTGATAAGCGGACGAATTTCGCGTCTTCATTTACTCGTGACATCACAGACTGCAAATCACCAAAGCCTGAGGTAACTAAGGCAATATCAACAGCGTAGTCAGAATCAGTCCGCCGACATTCGGGCGCAAGCTCAACTTCGTGTAGGACCTTCCCGGGAATCCTGTCAATGGCGTAGTTGAGCGGAATGGGCGACAAAACATCACCTTGTCGAACGCCGGATGGAATGTCGAACGGTTGGGGCAAATTGTTGTGCACCAGAACTCGTCCAGCGGTTAAGCGACAGTAGGCCTTGGTCATGGCGATGATTTTGGCCGGCATGCTGCCTGGTTCCATTATCCGCCACAGAGGCTCTAGATGGGACGAATCAAACGCGGCAGAGAAGTCAGCAAAACACACGGCCGTCACTTGCTGTTAAACATGAAGGAATTCCAGTACGCGTGTTAGTTTGAATACCCGGTCTGCGTATTAACCCTCAGCCTGCTTGGGACTCATCCTGAGTCACGCATAAAGTGGAATCGCCCGAGATGGACAACGTCGAAAGCCTTCACGGCAGCGTCGATGAGACTTATGCCGCGGTAGTTGCGCGTTTTTTTCGTATCCCTCTTCTTGAAGGCAGGCCCCAGTTGTCAGGAACAGCCTCAGCTACTCATGCATGCTCTATTATCTCGAGGAACCTGGGCGCCGGACTGTGGACGCAAGACTTGTAGATAACAGCGAGAATACCGTCCTCCCTGGGCGCCTTGTTGTACAGCCTCTGTCGAGTCGGCGATTTCTCCCTCAGACACTGCATAGGCTGGAGAGGGATAACACTCCGCGGCTGAATAGAGCGAGGGTGTGATAGGTCGAGCACTGAAGTTGAGAATGTGCTCAAAGTGCTCACGCAACCGACCAGGCTCGGCCGATTTGTCGACAGTAAAGCCGCCATTCACTTCACGAACAGAGTCACTCGGCACAGTGCGCTTATCACTAACTTAGAGGTTTAGTTTTCTAGCGTCACTAACGTTTGAGGCCTGTTTCATTGAGGTCGTTGTTTCCATTTTCCGGAATTGGCAGAGGGAATCATCGTTAAGGGACCCGCCTCGAGCCGTCTGGACAGACAGCTGCAGTGTTCTCTCGTTGATCCAGTCACTGTGTCGCCATTGGGTCAATCCAGAAACTTTTCCAGCTCCTTTGCGGACTGTCGACCTCAATTGTGACCACTGGCCTCTGCCATCTTTGTCGTCTTGGGTTGTAAAACGACCAGATTTCTGTGCCCAGGGTCTCGGCGGTGCCGGGTTGTCGAAGTTTTTCGAGTTACCGGCATCTTGTGCGTGACGTTTTGGGTGCGAATGAGAGATGAGCGTTCGGCATGTGGGAACGAGAACATGATCCGAGCCATGGGCGTTATTAGTTTCGGCACCACCCATTAATTTGTTATCGTGAATCCAGCTTCAGAACCTTGGATCAACTAGCATGCATTCGACCTGACCGTTGTTTGAATATCAGGTCAGCAGATGTCCGATGATGCTGGGTGTACGTGTTGTTGACAAACAGTCTATTCTGATCAGTGACGTCCAGTATCCTCACTGTTGCTGCATACAGAGTCTAGTCCAAGGCGGCTAGTAGGGTGAACGTTTGGCTAGTCGCGAGGACCTCTCCGACCATTCCAGTCCTCGGCAATAGCAGATAACGACGAAGAAGTCCTTCAGCTTTTGCAGCTGCGAGTAGAAGAGTCCTTATCGTGCTATCCGACACCTGATGTTGCTGCGTACATTTAGATGACAGATTTTCGTAAGGTGACCCTTCAGTCTCACGTAAGCCATTCGGTCATTGACTGGTTCTCATACAATTACTGCACGAATTTCTTGTTGTGAGGACGATTACCACGCCGTGTCTACCCGAAGAATCGCGTGGGCCGTTGTGGAACATGATGAAGTGGGCGTAGACTCCCGGGATCTTTATTTTCTCAGCATCTGAGTCGGGGAGTTGGACTTCGGGCACTCACTACGCGCTGTCAGACTTCAGGTACCAGGGTCCAGGAACGTCTGCACATTCCAGCATCCAATACCAAGAGTCCGTTCACGGTGTAGTAGTCCAGACCCCACCCCATTCGCCCGCTATACTATACCAGGGTTGCGGAGCGTGTCGGTCCCCGGGATGCCGTAGCATGGATTGTAATAATGTCGTCGGACGTATTTTCACGAGGTTTTTTGGAGATATTGAGTACAAGCTGGTCTCCAACAGCCGCTCGGATTGTTTGCTCGAGGTTGTCTCCTCCAGCGCTTTGGCTCAAGAACTTAATCACGAGACAGCCGTGGCAAGCCGACTGATTTAATGGCAGCTTACGGTAGCCATGTCACAGCGCCGTCATCGGGCTTGACGGGATCTAAGAGACAGTCGGCCTATCATACGTCAACCCTCAGCATCCTCAAATCAAATCAGTGTATTTAGAGTAAATAAAAGCCTACCTGAGGAGCAGTTA